ACTGCTCGGTGTGCATATCAGTTCGTCCAAATACAGGTGTCTAATCATGGCTATATGTAGGTCTATACACCGGAATCGTTGCCGTCACGTTGGAAAGCATCTGTGAGAGAAACAGGTCCACCACAGTATTAAAGCGTATTGAAGCTGAAGGGAATGACGCAGATACGAACAAGACTCGGCCTGTCGGACGGGGTATGGTCATTGTCATATCTACCCTCCACATCGTCACTTCCGTCAACTTCATCGCTGACTGGGTATACACACGCAATCTCTTTGTCGGAAACGCACAGAGTTCTTGGGCGGAATATCTGTTTGCAAACAGTGACCGTGTCACATTGACCTTGGTGATGGGTGTTGCGGTGATACGCATGTTGCATGTCTACCCTTAGATTTTGTGATTTTGTATGAGATATATACATACCAGAATCTATATCTACTTGAGTACAAGAGCTATTGCTGAGACTTCGAGCAGATAGCTAAGATCCTGTGCAATGAGAGAATATACAGAGTCGAAATACAGGACTTAGGAACAGTACCTTGAAGGATTGAACCTACCAGCCTGAATATTCAACCTGTAATCAGTCTAAACTGGCGAATATATGCCATAACATCCCACTCATGCACGATCTACTCAAACCAGAAGTATCTAGTCCCTTAATATGGTTGACTAGCCCCCAGAAGACGTGAATAGTTCCCTAATGTGGCTGACCAGTCTCAACAGAAGGGAATATTCTCCTAATGCGATTGAATAGCTGTGATTAGTTGCCTATGGTTTGCAGAATATTCCGAGGCAGTTCAAGCTCTAGCAAGAATAGACAGAAAAGCATGCAAAGATTCGCACTCAGAAGCAAATATTTTCCCTAACATGGTGGAATATTTCCCCTCAGATTGAAGCTACAAAGTGACTCGCCATTACTATTGCTTGATAGTGACTTTGGACCTGTAGATATTCTGCAGATGAACCGCATTCCAGAAGAATAGCCATGAGGCTCGCATCAGTGATCGGAATATCCCAATTATTAATTGATCAGTCAGGAATATTCCCCTGGTTGCAGCTTCGGCTAGTTGCCTAGATACAGAAGATAATGATGGATCACCCATTGCATGGTGTGGTAGTCTGGGCAGCGAGTGAATTAACTGGTAACCAGGCTAGCTAGCTTGGTAGCACCGGAATATTCCCTAGTCCAGCGAAGAATGATAGAATATTCTGACTCCAACAGCCATGGAGACAGTATCTAGATTGTCTGGACTGACGAAACCCTCAACCCAGTAGTACATACCCTAGACCCAGTCAGATATTAGCTTATACAGTATGACTAGATATCCGTGGTAGATCGGACTATGTACAGTATATAAAGGCCTCCTAGATGTAATATATGAGAGGCAACACCCTCCCCATGATTTGACCTTATAAGCGCAGTAGCTTGGGTGATTCAAGGGCCTTGGAGTGGAACCTCGGAGTTATAGATTAGTTTGTTAAGTCCAGGAAGCTTGCCATCCCTTAGAGTCGCACCTTAGCCAGTGAGCAGGGCAATTCGAAGGCCTTTGTGCATATTCCTTGGACGAGGCAAATATTCCTTAAGTCCAATAGAAAAAGATAAAAGAATATAAAGATTATTTATATATTTTTGAGTTTGAATTGGCCAGTGAGCCATAGTATCAGCCAGTGAGCTGCAGAGTCGGCCAGTGCACCATTATAAAGCCAGTGTGCTATAGAATTCAGCCGGAGTGCCATTAATATCAGAACACAGAATATTTCAAGTACCAAGACGAGCAGTCGTCATTAATATACTTTATTTGCTCCCAAACCTATTATATATTCGCTAAGTCGAATTGAATAGCTTGGATACCTTCAGAATTGAAAGAACAAGTCATATATTCGAGCTTCTTGCTGGAATATTTGCACACTTATCAGAATATTTGAACTTCCTACCAAACTAGTCAGTTTGCAGAGGTCTTCTATCGATCTCGAAACACCCGAACTTATATATTTGGTGATTGTGAAGCGCAAGGATTGCTTAGGGTTGAGTATATACAGGTTTCACTTGCTGTATATTCGATCTAGGTTTTTCCCTGCACTGTTACCAAGCACATCAGCGGGTATAGTCTGTACTGCTCTTGCAGACTCCACCTTGGTATGTGCAGCTCGTACTACATATTTTCTCCATGGCAGCTTACCCTCAATAATAGATATGGCGCTACTGGACGGTCTGGGGATGGCGATGGCCGGTTATCTTACCTCCCGTCCTCTTCCTCATCTGCACAATTGGTATGATCAATCTGATTTTCAAGGAATTCGCGAACTCACCCCATGCAGTATTCAACAGCATCACTATATACAAGGCATATGCTACCGTAAGCGGGTACACTTTCGGGTTCGTGCTTCATTCGGCCTTTATCCTTGCTACGACTCTGTGGTGCACCCTGCTCATCATCTACTGCATCGTGACCGTTGTACGAGGGGAAGCTCGACTCAGGACGTACCGCCGCGTTATCGAAGTCTTTGTCGAGTCTTCGGCTCTTTATTCGCTGTCATTGATCGTATATGTAGCTGTGTTTTGCTATGACACGCCTGCATCGTTTTACATCGACGTCGTAGCAGGGGTTGCAAGGGTAACGTTCTTCAAGTTTAGCCGTCTCACAGTTGTTGAATTCACGTTAGGGAATCGCACCGACGCTTCTCGTGGGGCGTGTTGCAGCAGGACATGCGCGACCGGATGATTCATGGCGAGGGAGCATCATGTCTTCGATCCACTTTGGGACACGGCGGAGGCCTCAGCAGGGGAGCGATGAGCTTGAAGCTCAGTTGGAGCGAGGCGATGAATATGCGGTGGAGGAGGCTTCTACTGCCTACTCGGATGATGGCGTCACTTATTAAGATCACTGCAAAACTCAATCAGAGGAACTACTAGATAACCCGGCAGTCATCATTGTACCGAGAGATTGACTTCTGAAGATGATGTGCATTCTATTTCACCTCGCTTTAATTGATTATTCTGGCTCCTTTTTGCGTGGATGAGAAGGTGCGGTCTCCGTACTCCGGCCGGTACATACGCCGTGCGTCAGTGAATCCGACAGTTCTTTGGGGTTCATGGATGAAGAAGCGGCACACGCTTTTCCTCTCCGCATGCAAATGATAGGAGGAATCATCGATTTGTCATGGTATGCACTGGCACGCTCAGCCCGGCACATTCTGTTCACTCCACCATGGCAAGATTTACACCGCGCACAACCAACAAGTCCATCTTGTTTCCCTCCAAATCTCTTACCAACCTTGATGTAAGACGTCATAATATCCTCTGGGATTGTCCAATGGTACCTGTGGGTCATAAGTAAATTATAATAGGAGTTGAAAATTCGGGGATAAGAAAAAGAAGGAAACGTTATCGATTTATTTCTCTGGCTAGGAGTCGAACCCAGCTTTCGCACAAATCTACTACATCAAGAAGTGGCCTAACCGATACACCACCAGAGAATTCAATGGTAAATCATTGATTCCTAGTACCGACTCCCCATGAACTTTCAACTAAAAGCTTCGGCGATACCAAACCATTTTATCCATGGCCTAGAAGACAACACGCCATGTCATCCTTTTGTCGTCTTCTGCGAGTTGTTTTTTGATATCTTGCAGTAGACGTCACGACGAAAACGTGGATTCGCTCATCTGCACGGCCAGACCATTACATTCAACACCGTCATCGCTCCGTTCCTTCTCAACAACGTTTCCGAACGCGTCACAGTTTCGCCCTCATTTCGAGCATTTTCGTCACCAGAGGACGCGATGATAGAGGTCATATATAAATGCCATCAATGGAGGGATGAACGTTGACTTTGGCCGACCGTTATGCCCTGACGTCCTGGACGCGCGGCAGGCTTCATTCGCGACGATGGATGGAGAGAGGCTCCGTTTGCATGGATCGTCGTCCAGCGATCCGGTAGATGCTCCGGTTCTGCGGGATTGGATATGAAGGGAGCGAATTCGGAATGGACCTTACAGTGAGCGCTATCACTGTCATTCTGAAATGTACTAATCATAAGTTAGGATACAAGGATGTCGTGCTGCTCTCATATCCAGACGAGTTTCAGCCTACCATCGCCGACACCTTTCTTCCAACCATGACGGATACTTCTCATCTCCACGGGACGGATACACCACACCAAGAACGATTTTTGCAGACCTGCTGCTGTGTGTCGCTCAATGCTGAAAGCGAGTGTACGGCGCCACCCTCTTGCTTGGCGGATGTCAATCCAGGGTAATATGTATTGACACAGCAGGAGTGCCCACCCCAGCTGTCAGTCCTACGGAACTGAGGTCCCTGCGGTCTTAATCTCTTCGTTGAGGTGTTTACTTGAGTAATCGACGTCTTGCCGGTACATGTGCCTCACCGTCGCAAGCTCTCTCGATAGCCCACATGGATCTTCCTTATAGCGTCAACAAACAGGCCGCGAGCTCCATTGTGCATGCACATGAATGTATCCCAAATCTACGTTTTCTTTTTATGAACCCCTGGCTTCTCATGCTGCTTGAAGGAGTCCTGGGCAAAGCTCGCATTCGGACACCATACTTCACGTTCTTTTGCTAGTACTCCAATTTTCTCCATGGCAGAGATTGATTACATCGTCTGTCGCATCCCGACGTGCTATGTTGTATATTTCCCACAAATCGATCCTTTCAGCTACAACCCACATAGTTGATGGTCAGAGGGGCCCAGGATCCAGAGTGGACCTCCTGACGGATCAGTTTCTCACTGAAATATTATATTTTCGCTCATCTTCTGAAAATAATCTTCTTCTCTTTGTCAACTGCTGCATGAGTACCTTCTAAAGTTATTTTAGCTGGTTTCAAAATATCTCGCATGGATAATAAGCAGTGATGATTCTTCAATACGCAACAAGTTGTGTAGTAACTAAGTATCAAGGTTCAAGACGACTCACGAGTCTCGGGTCTTGGGCAATCCTGAGCCCGGAGCGAGAAAAAGCCGGGTACAAGCCTGGATCTACTCTCTGGCTGGGAGTCGAACCCAGCTTTCGCGCGGAGCAAACCAGTATCGAAATTATGACAGGCGCGTGTACTAACCGATATACTACCAGAGAATGCATAGGGCTATTTCTCACTTAGCTTGCTTGCCCCCGGGCCATCTACGGCCGAAACTGTTGAAACGAGCGGTAATGCTCCAGCCGCTCACTCGGATTTTAGCAGGGAATCCTCGCAAATGAGCGAGGGTCATCAAATTTGGGGCTACCTATTTATCTAATTTTCTGTACACTAATAAATAGGTAATAGAATCGACGTTGTGAAGTTAATGAAGCGGAGTCCGAGGAGGACAATACTCCTTCCTTGACACTGGACAACCGTAGATCCCGAGCATGCGCGATACTTGTCAATTCAACAGAAACTCCCCGAGCTCGAGCTCTTACTACCTCGGCAACAATATGGCAAGGCCACGAAAGCAACACGTAAGTACTTATAAACAGGACACGACTGTGAACAGTGCTGGCAACTGGCAGTACTCGTGCGAGTCGGTGGACCCAGGCTGTCAAGGACTTGCCGTGATTTTCGTGGAATCGCTGAGGAGTTGTGAGTGATACCTGTCCAAGTTCCTGCCTCTGATGAAGCGTATGAGCTTCTCTATGCCAATGAAGACGTCTTCCATGTGACGTCTCAAAGAGCTGTCGATTGATGCTTACCATGGGATACAGCCTGAGAGGTGCGTGTTATCTACATCCTAAAATCGAACCTTCGGAGTCAGACTGCATAATCCTTCGAAGTCGACTCCTAAAAATTTCTGGTCTGGATTCTGGGAATCCACCATACTTTTCTAGATTTTCTACACCTTGCTGCGTGACCTTACTTGGGATCGAGGGAATTGCTTTCGGTGGGGTTCTTTTCATTACAAAAGTCGCATTGGAATGTGTAATTGGCTGGAGCGCCTCTCGTTGGGCACCTTGACTATAGTTGAATGACGCTCAAAGTTGGAGATACATTTTGTCGATTACTAGGAGCTGGTACGCCGACTCATCTTCTTTCATTTGTTATTTAATATCCACAATAGGTAGAGAGTATCGGACCAATAGCGATGGGTTTCCTGGCTGAGTCACAGAGTACGTCCCACGACCCCTCTCGGAAACATTTTCTGTGACCTTATTACCCTCGCAATCACTTATGCGTGTAATACACGATGCCATCCCTGGCTCCCCTTCCAGAGTTCCGACAACAAGGACTCGGAGATGCACAGTCTATTCAATGGCAGTTTGTCAAGGTGCACAAGGCCTTTCGTGCCCCGGGTGCCAGTAGGCGCTACTACTACAAAAGGCGGAAATCCTAACATAATTCCAAACCCCGGGACTGTACATCAGGAGAAATGTGCAGCTTTATACTGCGCGAAGCATGCAGAGCACCACTACTGTGAACATGAAGCAGCTTACTGCCCACGCAGTGTACGCCGCACCTACGGCATATTCAAGCCCCAGCGTCTCTATACCATAGAAGTGCTCGACAAGGGGCACTCCAACCGCACAATCCACCCCGACCCACAAGATACTCAACACAAACTTGACTCTCCTGAACGCTCTGTCTGACGCACGCCTAAAGCAAGCTTGCACCGAAACGCTCAACACACCAAATGGAAGAAACGCAGCCATGGATCCCCAAAATCCGACCAGGAAGGTCGACCAAAAGCTGACGTGGGAATAAGGGCTTCGAGGGCAGCTGAGGTGAAGCAATAGCCAGTGGCCAGCGACAATACCAGCACCACAGAATGCGCTGGTAATTGTGGCCATTAGGGCGATGCAGAGAAGAGTGAACAGTATGGCGAGCAAGACTACGATAGTCTTGCCGAAGATCCCCATGCCCTGGGTTTTTCGGATAAGAGGGTGATTTAAGAGCCGATTACGAGTTTCGATGTTATGAACGCCTGCGAGTCATTCATAAGTTTCGATGATACAAGTCGACGATAGGACTCACCTGCCAAGGCAGCTTCTATGGCTCCATAGCTGGGGTGGATACCGTTATTGAGAAGAGATTCCTGGGACCTGGAACGACGAAAGCAGTGAAGGAATTGAGACATTCTGGCTGATTCGTGGTAGGGAAGGCAAGTGTCCGAGATGTTGTAATTTCAGACGTAGACGTCGGCTGGTTGGAGGGAACAACGTGTATTCCCACGTCAGAACGGTTTATGTATGAGGGTGGTAAGCGCCGCTGCGCCATAGATCCTGGCGCTTGTCGTTTGCCTTCCAGCCGAGAAGGAGTCAGTACCGTGGGAGCAACGCGGTTAACATGCCGAAGTTCAAATCCTCGAGGCAGAAACAGGGACTATGATCTTGCACAAGATCGCCTTAGTTTCTCTGTCCGCCTCTTCTGATGGGTATTCGCCCCTGCCAATGAACTCGCTACCGCCCTCAGGCTGGAAATAAATGCAGTCTCAAAATAATGTTGCGATACTCATCTTCTCGCCATGTTCATCACCAGGATCACTGTTCATGTATACTGATGGGTCGGACTACGTGACCGAGTTGCCTTTGTTTCCTTACATCTGTCTGTCGGAAAGAACTCACATAACAGTCAATGTGCGACGTTAATCTTCTACTATTCACTTAAACTTGTAAGGTCGAGCTTTGAAAGTCGGACTCTGATCTGAGATCTCTGCAGCGTCGGGCTGCTGAAGCTTGAGTTGGGCACCCAGCAGGCTTGGCTCGGCGCTCGGCCCCACTGCCACATAGGCAAAAAATGATCGGTTGGTCACCGTATTCAATCACTCTCTGGATGGGAGCCGAACCCAGCTTTCAAACGCAAGCCTTATTCGATTACGAAAGGCGCGTGGACTAACCAATAGGCTACCAGAGAATACGTTTTGCAATCAATCAATCAATCAATCAATCTCATAATTTGGATCCCGACTCAGTACTCATGGCCAAAGTCTTATCATCATAGACGAATTCTCCTGAGTTCTCACTCACGCCTCCGACAGCAACATTAACATTGGACGTTCCATCAGTACGAGCAGAGCTTAGGAAGCAACGCAGGTCTCGACTTGGAGATGTCAGCTCCCTTGACGTATTTTGCGAAAAATTTCCTGATATCTCGTGGCGAAACGAAGGAACGTGGATTTATTCGCTAAGGATATGTAGAAATGACTCTGACGTGTACTGGTACAATGGTGCAAGGTACGTGAAGTTTTATCTGTACCGAGATTAGAGCTCAAGCCTCATTCACACCGCCAGACCGTTTCTGACTGTGGGTCACTTCCTTTGGCGCATTTTCGTGATCAGCTTTAGACGATCAGCACACGGCTGGCACAGTGACGGTCGGCATTGGTGGAGACAGCGAGCACAGGCATCGATTCTATGAGCAGAGTGGACTGGTCTTCGAGCGGCTACCGATGGCAGGACGGCCCAAGGACGTGCATTGAAGACCGCTATGGAACGTCGAGGACACCTCCTTGACCGATGGCCTCACCCGTTCGTATCAGCCACCATCGTCTCTATAATCAGATCGCGTGCAGTTTCGAATTCGAGGACAATATGAACGCCAGGGCAGTCTTTGTCGCTGTGTTCTGCATGCCTTTCTCAGTACCGTCAGATGACGACGAATTCGTGCCGTTCTATACCAAAGGCAATTTCCCGGACCTTTCGTCACTTAATCTCTTCTGGCGCTGCTTTTGTTCTCGTTTAACTGCATCTCCGATTCTGGATGACAGGCCATTGCTCTGTTTTGGTCCATTTCCGTACAGCGATGGACTGCTGCTACAACGATGGTCAGCGCTGGGGTCATACGCCGGGGCATCATGGATGTACGAATACCTATCAAGCGACGTGGCACCGTCCAACTTCTCGCGATGGAAATGACCCTGAAACCGTCGAACGCTTGCCATCAAATACTACCTTTTCATTTTGCTCGGCACCAACCGCATATATGCTGCTCCGAGTCCTCAACATGATGTGCGGGTGCATCTAGACCATTTTTTGTGACTTCCGGCTTGGTTCTAAACGCAGGCGCGCAGTTTCGAGGTGAGTTTCTTTATTATACCACGTTTTCTTAATACCAAAGATATAATCTTTCTGTAGACGTTCTCGCTTCCCGTACGTCCATCAGAGATAGGGACAGTCAGACATGAAAGGAACGAGCCGTGTGCTGAGGACGTTACAGTAAGCTCTGTTGCTGTGTTGTCCTGAAATACACTAACATCAAGATTCAAAGATACCGCGTCCCTGCCAATTAAAGAGGGATACAGGACAAGCCTAGGCCCACAAATCTATTATAATCTCTCAGCCATGACATTCATTCACATTGCCGAATAGAGGGATGGGTTGGTTTGCACATTCAGGGCTGTATAGGCCTCTTATCTCGCACAAACCTTGACCTAATCCTAAAACAGGTAAACCTGCAAGGATTCTGACATAGGGTGGGTGTACGGCACCATCTCTTACGCGGAATGCAAGGCAACGAGCCGCATGGTGACGCCCGCACGGAGTACATTGAAGAAATATAATATGTTTCCTCTCTCAGCCTCTCCCAGCCTCTCCCACCATTGCAATCTGAAAACTCTGAGTATCGATCTTCCTCTCTATCCATGTTCGGTTTTGGATGATTCGACGATGCAGTACCTGTTATGACGAACACAACTGCTTCCATGCATCCGGGACATACAAAGTCCGTGATAGAAAGTCGACTGTGTGTTCATGATGCTCTCCCATACGAGGTCGAGGACGGGTGTCTCATCTCCGGACTTGTCATGATCAGATTACGACCATTCTAAACCTAACGAGATTTCCCTGTATCACCCACGCACCGCGCCCTGTTCGCATTTCCCACAGCGACCGCAGTTTCCGCGATGGTGCTCCTTTGGCACAAGCCTGTTGCCACTGGCAGCGTGGCGATGATCAGTGTTCAGGTTATAGGCCCGGGAGGCAGAACCAAGATAACTGGTCAGTATGTCTTATCTTGTGCATCTCCATTTCCTGAAATAGAGAGATCATCGCCAAGTAATGACCGTGGAATATGAAATCGACATCCAGGGATGGCTCACTACTCGCCCGTCGTCCATTGGCCCCCCTTTCATCTATCCTGTCCCTCATCTGTTCGTAGCATGAGAGTC